TGTAGATTTACGGCCAAAAAATTGTATTCTGGCTAGAGCCAGTGGAACACACAGTGTGTGTGTTTGTGTAATTCATCAAAATTTTAAGCTTATGTTTGTAGATGCTAATTTGGCAAAACTATTAGCTATGCCAGAATATCCATTACATAACTATAAAAATATTTTAGCTCAAACAATATGCAATCCAGCATTCCCTATTTGTTATTTAGGAGATTGTAACTATTGTCCAGGCACATTCTCAATTAAAAAACAATTAGATGTTTGCCCAAAATGACATAGATCATATATCATTTAAACAGTGGGTGCCTGTTGATAATAGTAATCTGGAAACAATAACAAAATCTTCTCAAGAATTTTTAATTTTTTTTTTAGAAAAAATTCCACTATATACGTCATTCCTTATATTATTATTAAAATTAATATAACGCCATCTATATTATCCTTTTTTATTTATAAAAATAATAAAAATTTTAATAAAAATAAAAAAACAAAAATGGCTATCGAGATTTTTCATTAAATAGTTTAATATAAAGGTAATAAACATCTTTAGAGAGTATCAACACCAAAAAAATATCCCTTCCCAGGAATGTTAATTTTTTATTTTTACCGGAAATAAAAAAACACTTAAAAATTTTTAATTTTTTTTAAATATTTTCCAATGTAAAATTTTAAGGGCTATAAAATGATATATTATTTGTAATTTTATCTTAAGTATTTTTTAAGAAAAACAAGATTTAAGAAATCACGCATTATGCGATTCTCTACTTTGAAGGCGTATATCTTTGGATTTGGTTGAGCTAGCACTCTAAAATTTAGAATTTACAAAAATATACAAAATAAATAACTATCATGCCAGGTTTCGTTTATTTTAAAAATGGTCGTCCAAAAATCGCGTTTTTTTGGTCGATTTGACGTGGAATGACCCATTTCCCATTGGACCATGGGGTGCAGGTTAAACCGTCAGGTCTGAGACCATCTTGTAAAGAGAGGTTTGTTGGTTCTAGGATGTTAGATTTAGTCTTATTAAGAGCGTTATGTATGATTTTATTTATAGCTTTATGCCGTAGGTGGCGACCTTGGCTGCGGGAGCAGTTTAGGATGTGTCTTGCGTTTGGTTGAAGGGGTAGGTTGCAAAGTTGGCAAGTGTGTGAATGTGTAAGCGAGCATCCAAGCCTAAATCCTATGGTAACTCTCAGTTGGTCATTGGTTAAGAGATCATCAAGGGTTAGGCTTGGAAGTGCCTCGAGCCATTCATGCTAGCCATATTTATCTTTTAGTTGAAGAAGTTGTATATCGCTGATATCGGAAGGGTTAAGAAGACTATTTTGTAGTTTATTTATAAGAGGTTCCAAGATTGATTTATTAGAAATTTCGGTTGGGTATGTCTGACCGTCTGGGGTTAGTAGATACCATCTTTCGATTGGAAATTACAAAATAGTCTTAACCCTACCGAAGCGATATCTATTACAATTCAAAGATAAATACGGCGGGCATGAATGACTCGAAGCACTTCCAAGCCAAACCTTAAATAATCTCTAACCAATGACCAACTGAGTTACTATAGGATTAAGACTAGGATGTTGGCTTACACAGTCACACACTTGCCACCAATGCAGCTTACCATTTCTACCTAAAGCCAGATACGGTTTAAACTGCACCCGCAGCCAAGGTCGCCATCTCCGGCATAAGGCAATTAATAAAATCATCCATAACGCTTTTAATAAGGCTAAAATACCTAACATCCTTGAATCTACCAACCTCTCATTACAGTACGGCCTCAGACCCAACGGTTTAACCTGCACCCCCTGGTCCAATGGGAAATCCCTTATTTGGGACGCAACCTGCGTCTCCTCCTTTCCTTCATCAATTAATTCAAACCCTCTTACTTGTGGGGAAAATAAAAAATTAACAAATATTCAAAAATAAATAACTATATTTCAGCCAATAGTCATATCAACTAACGGCAATTTTCACAGTCTATATATTTTTTTTAAAAACTTTATCACGAAAAATTTTTAACATACAAATGAAAATCGCGAATCCTTATTTCTTAAACAAAAACTTGAACTATAAATTTTTAAACACAATTATACTTGTTTTTTAGGTACATATTCATTATTAAATTTTAGAGCATTAGATACTTATATTATAATATATATATTTATTTTTATTTAGTAATTTTACATATTATATATTTGTTTTAATATTTTATCATTAATTTAAATAAATAAAAATTAACAATATTTTAAAAAAATTTATAGCCTCTTAAAAAATTAATGTTTTAAAATAAAATAGACACCATTATCATTTATCACACTATTGTTTTTGCAGTTAAATGGCCCGATTAAGATTTTAGCCAAAATAATATTATGTAAGCCTGAGATTTAGCAAATCTAGGTCCAAGCCTTTCTGACATCTATGAGAAAAATCTCTGTTCATAATATTATTTTGGCTAAAATTTATGTCAGGCCATTTTTAAAAATAGACCCAAATCCAGCCATTAAACCCTAACAAAAGGTGCCCAAATAAAGGTTAAAAATTCTTTTCCGAAAACCAACTTCCTTAATTGTATAAAATTAAAAACATGCGTAGAACCATAAACGTAATCCGGATTTTAAGTTTCAAATTAGCAATAATTTCTTTTCTTTTGATAGACCTTTAGAGATCTTTTTATCTACATGTGGTATTTATTTTACATTTACCTTAAATAGTTTTTGAGATATAAGCAATTTAAAATTTTTTACAGGAGGATTTGTGTGCTAACAAACTAAAATAAATGGCTTTCTTATCTATTTTTTTACCAACCTAAATACAGGGTTTCCCGTTTAAAAAAGGAAAAGTCCCAATCAAAAAAGGAAAAGTTTCAATTATAAAAGGAAAAGATTCGATCAAAAAAGGAAAAGGGTCAATCATAAAGAGTTCAATAAAAAAAAGGAAAAGGCCCAAAAAAAAAGAAAAGCTGTCAATCAAAAAAGGAAAATTCCCAAAAGAAAGGAAAAAGTCCGATCAAAAAAGGAAAAGTGTCACACAAAAAAGAAAAAGGTTCAATCAAAAAAGGAAAAGTGTCAAACAGGAAAAGTGTCAAACAGGAAAAGTGTCAAACAAAAAAGGAAAAGGTCCAATCAAAAAAGGAAAAGTGTCAATCGATAAAGGAAAATTTCCAAAAGGAAAGGAAAAGTGTCAATCAAAAGAGGAAAACCATTCAAAAAATGAAAATCGTAATTTTTTTTAATTTTTTGTAAATTTCTCTTAAAATTTTTGTTATTCCTTCTTAATTTACTTCTAAGTTTTTGCGATTTCTTTACGTTTACTTTTCTTACTGTATCTTTTCTAAATATATTTCTAACTTTTTGCGATTTTCTTTACTTTTATTTTTTTTACTATATCTTCTCTCAATTTATTTTTCTTCTCCTTTTTGATAATTCTTTTGTATTTTAAAAATAATTAATAAATTTAAGTCCATTTTTTTAACAATTCTTTACGTTTTTTTTTTCATCATACATACAATATTCTTTTTATGATTTTTTTATTGTAATCTTTTACATATATTTCTAACCTTTTCAATCTCTTTAAGTCATTTTTAATCTTTATTTTTTTGAGCATTTCTCAATTATTTTCTTCTCATTTTTGATAATTATTTTTTAAAATTATATTTAATGTTTTTGGCAGACAATATAATTACAATTGCTAAATTATAAATTAATCGTTTGGTTATAATGACCTTTTTAAAATTAAATAAGTTTGAACTGTAATACCAAACAATATGTAAATTAATAAAATATAATCATTTTAAATTCTTATTTTTAAATTATCAAAAATGAGAAGAAGAAAAATTGAGAAATGCTCAAAAAAATTAAGATTAAAAATGACTTAAAAAGATTGAAAAGGTCAAAATGTATGTAAAAGATTATAATGAAAAAATCGTAAAAAGAATATTGTATGTATGATGAAAAAAAAAGTAAAGAATTGTTTAAAAAAATGGATCTAGATTTATAAATTATTTTTAAAAATACTAAAGAATTATCAAAAATGAGAAGAAAAACAAATTGACAGAAGATATAGTAAGAAAAATAAAAGTAAAGAAAATCGCAAAAAGTTAGAAATATATTGAGAAAAGATACAGTAAGAAAAAAACGTAAAGAAATCGCAAAAATTTAGAAATAAATTAAGATGGAATAACAAAAATAAATAAAAATAAGAAAATTTTAAAAAAATTACGATTTTCCTTTTTTGAATGGGAATTTTCCTTTTTTGATTGCCACTTTTCCTTTCCTTTTGGGAATTTTCCTTTTTCAATTGACAATTTTTTTGTTTGGACCTTTTCTTTTTTTGTTTGACACTTACTTTTCCTTTTTTGATTGACACTTTTCCTTTTTTCTTTCTTTTTGGGAATTTTCCTTTTTTGATTGGGACTTTTCCTTTTTGAATGGGAAACCCTGTAATTCTAGAAAATTTTTAAAATGAGCCAAAAATAGACACTATAGATCAACTTGACTCAAAATGGCTCTGAATTGACATGAAACTGTGCTGATGAGTGTATGTTAAAATAAAAATATATAAAATTAATTAATATTATTATATTATATATATTTAAATTTTATTAAATATTATACAATATTGTAATAATGGTCAAAAAAATTATTAAAAACATTAGAAAAGTTCATCTTATTTTTTCTAATTTATTGGTTTATAGATTTTTATATGATTTATTTTGTAAATTCATATGCAATTACAGGCTAAAAAAATATGTTGAGTGTGGGGCACCTGGTATCTGTTAAAATTGAATTGTCTGCTAATAGTAGCTGATAGGTATCTGAGAATTTCTAATATAAATATTTTCTGCATGAGCAGGGCTTCAACAAATCAAAATAATTTTTATAATAGAAGAATTTATTAAAAATAAATATAATTTGAGTATAAATTTAAATTGATTATTTCATAGATAAAATGAATTATTATGGTTAATTTTAATACCTTTATAATATAATTTAAAAAAGTACTTGTGGTAGAGGGATATTTAAAGAGGTCAGACAAATTTGCATCCAGGATGATAAAAACATTTGATTCATAAGTAAAGGTGGTAATTGAAACTAGATGTAATTTTATTAACTAATTTATAATAAGTTTTATAACTTGAATAGCACAATAAAAAGTTTTAAAAATATGTTTTTGTATAGCAACTGATTGCTCACTGTTATCATTTAACAAGAATGAAAATTTTTCCCCCAATATTGGTAATATTTTTGATAAACAATTATATAATGGAACTCGATCTTTGGATTTCCTATATCTAATTTCTAGATGTTTAATATATTATCAAATAAAATACTCATAATTTTTGACTAGTTGATGCAGGCAATTCAAACCACCAAGGCATATATCATAATTATTATCTTTTAAAAATATTTCTAATTTATTGAGCAATTTTGGCCATTTATTGGGATAATCATATTTAATCATCGTATTTACGCATAATGCCAATTGTGATCTTCATCATATATAAGATAATCATATATTAAAATATTATTTACCTTAGTATATCAGGTGAATGAATAATTGCCTCAATAATATTATCTTTAATAATAATTTTATCTGATTCAATAATAATTACAATTTTTGATTCTTGATGCTGAAAATCTGTCTCAATATGATGCCAATTTTTTGTAATATAATTTTTAAAGTATATTGCAGCTATAAATAACCAATATAAATAATATATAAACTTGATAATACCTGCTTGACGTATTGGCATATTATAATTTTCGGAAACAATAACTTGTAGAACCATTTGAGAAAATCCAGGTATAACATTGAGCTAATTTTAAATAAGAAAAATAAGCAATATATATTACCTCTTTTAATTGGTTCTCTGCGATATCCTTTTGAGAAGGATTTAAAGTTGCTTCAAGTAATTTAATTAGAGACTCGTTATTCATGACTTTTTTAAACTACGGTTGTTGTAATGAATGAATGAATAAAAAATTTTCATTTTCATTCATTCATTACCACGCACAAATGAAATTATTACCCACCAGGAGTTGTAGCGTGCACCAAGTATATTCACTAATATATAGATCCTATACATGATGTATACCCGTTTTATTATAGTGGATGGTACCACTATGTAATCAGCTAGCATAGTAAAGAAGAGAGGAGTAAGAAAGAGGGGATCTATTAGTTCCGTTACCGGCAAGATAGTGTTAAGAAATTGTCACCAATATTAATAATAATGTACCTGACACCTGTTTAGATATCTAAGAGATGGAAAATAAAGTAAGTCTTATGTTAGGTAAGTATATCCTTGGAAGATAACGTTATGTCTTTATAGCGTGTCCTATTCCGGAGGCATCTAATTTCCCTGTAATTGTAGTCTCAATCCCTTAAACCCATTATCCTAAAGAGCTTACTATCTTTGTCTGATTTTTTCCTTCTTTTTACCTTCATTTATTTCTATCATTCTAGAGTTAATAGTATCCCCGTAAATCCTTGTTTGTATTAAGCAAGCGATGCTCGGGATCCTCATTATTTACCACATTATCATTATTATAGTGAACCTGGAATCGTTAATCATTATTATTATTATTCACGGTCTTAAGATTATCATTGCCTTCGTCAAAATCGTTTATCCAGTAGGGAAAGGAAAAAGACAGGGAATCATCCTATTTCATTAAATCCATAATTCCAATATAACCTGTGCCGAAGCTTAAATTGTCATTTGCCCCGGGATAAGTGGTTGGAAATAAGACGGTGCGAGAATAGTCCAATACTTTCACGATTTCTGCTCTAGTTTAGACCATATTTAAGCATGTATTATAGATGTTCCTTTAAATGTTTTTTGTTTTTGCTGAGTGCCAAAATATCTGTAAACGAAAGGTTGATCAAGTCCATATCCTTCAGACATTTTGCCAGCCAATAGTATTTGGGAGTTACTAAATATTTGTTAAAATGAAATGATTGAAGCAGAAAGAGGTTCGATTTTTCCGGTGAAAATATGTGTTGAAGTTGATGTAGAGATATATTGAATTTATGAAGATAAGTCTGGATGGATCCAAAAGTAATGTGTCAAAATAATGCAGAACTATATCCAACAACACTATGATGAGGTGGGGAAGTGGAATCTCTAAAAAGTTTCAAAGAAAGGGAATTTGGAATAAGGTTATTAAGTATTTTAGCTAATTTTTATGTTTTAGTTACAAACTTGATTACTGGACTATAATCTATTTATATTAATTACTTCAGTACCATTAGTCCCGTTATGACTAAATACAACTGCATTGCTAAAATGAATTGCTAAAAAGAAAATAATCATAATTTCAGAAACATTTTTTTTTATGTTCATAAATCAATTTTTTATTAAGTAAAAATTGAGATAAAATATCAAATAATTTAAAATTCTATTTTTACTTAATTTTATTGGAAAAAAAAATATATTTACTAGCTTATTGCAACTTAAATTTTATTTATCAGTTGCAAAATTTAACAAATATATATCCATAAGAGGGCTTTAAAAGAATAAAATAGCTCTTTTTTTATATTTGGGTGTAAATACATGTGAAAAACCTAAAAAAAATTTAAAAATATAGGGTTATTTGACATTTAATTAATGAGTAGGTTTAGAATAGAAAAATAATAAAAAATTTGTAAGGCACATATTGCTAGCGTTATAGATCAAAATCTCTTCATTTTTGGTTTATACGTGTATATTTAGGTGTTAATCATTATCCTAAAAAATATTTTAAAAATATTATGATTTGGCGGAATGCCGAGCTCAAACCCCACTAATTAATAAATAATCTTAATTATAATAAATATTTAATCCACAAAAAATAATTTCAATATTACAAAAAATTATTCCTCCCTTCTTTTCCGTCGAGATTACCTGAATGCTTAGTATTTTTCAATTTCATGAAAATTTAAAATTCTAAAAATTTTTTAAAAAATTATAAATTTATAAAAATTATTTTGGCATTTTCCTAAAGCTAATAATGAAAAGTGAAAGTACGTAAAAAAATAATAAACAAATAAATAATAATTTCAATTATTAGCAGTTAAAATCTAAAATTATTATATGATTATAAATCATATTGTTTTTAAAATGTCTGATTTCCTGCCATATTTTGGTAAGCTGAGGCCCTGTTAGGCCCTTCTAATTGTCTTTATTTAAACTATATATCTACAATTTTAAAGTAAAGACGATTGATATAAACAATTATCAATATAATACAATTGGTTACAATTTGGTAAACTAAAATATGGCGGAGTATTGTATATAAATCACGGCTTATTACAAAATGGTCGGAAATTTTTCAGGATAGCCCTGGTGAGTTAAAACGGTTATTAATTCAAATTTGATAAAAAGTAATTTTATAACCTTGTGTTGGCATTTATATGCAAAATACTTTATTTCTGCTCACCCGAGGAGGGTATCCTAAATAAGTTTCCGACCCTATGACAAGGGAAGTCTATCGACTTTACGATTACATTATGACTTTATAGTGATAATATATATCTTTATGCTAATTTAAATAAAGTTTTAAGATAAAAATTTGCAATTTGGATTAAAAAAAAAAGTGACAATATATATCTCTATGCTAATTTAAATAAGGTTTTAAAATAAAAATCTGCATTATGGATGATAAAATTAGCATTTCGTCCAACAGGGAAGTTAAGTTCCCAAAATTGGAGGGGTGCTTGACGGATACCTATTTGGAGAGACTTGACGATTATTTCTCTCAAACAATTTTATACAACTCAGTAAAAATTGAAACATTGATGAGCAATTTAATTAAATCATTATGTACTAAGGAAGATATCAAAGATTATAAAATTATTATTAAAAAATTAAAATTTTTATTACCCAGTCAAGATGTTTGGATATTTACTGGGAAAACCTTGCTTCACAAGGTGTTAAGGATTCTTTTTTGGATTGGTTTTTTAGACTGTCTAAGTTAAGTAGACAATGTAATTTTATATGGTGATCGCATAAAGGAAAAATTGAGAACATCTAGTTTAAATGACAATATAAAAAATAAATTAAATAAAAACATTAACTATACATTAGACGAAATGATTGAAATAGGAAGAAAATTAGATAGTTAAATCAGAAAGTGACAATGTTAATTATGTTTTTAGTAGGGATAAAAAATTAATAATGACAATAATAGAAATAATGATAAGAATTTAGATATCCAAAGTACTTCTAATAGGAATGAGATTAATAGTAACTATAATAGACCTAATTATTATTCGAGGCAAAATTTTGACAGTAGGAATAGAAATTTTGGTTATAACAATTTTAGTAATGTTAACGACAACAGGAACAGGAATTTTAGTAAAGTTAGAAACAATAACAATTATAATTAACTATAGAAATAATCAGTATAATGATGGTATCTATCAAAATTACAATTATCGGTATAACAATAGCAACAGAAACTTACGGAAGTGTAACACTTGAACCAATTAAGAAAGAGAGAATGCTATAACACATATGCATACCACGACTTTTCTAAGAAGGACGGAAGTGTGGACAAAAATATTAAAACTAACGATAAAAATATTGTAACACCGATTCCTAGACCGATACGAAGTAGACAAAAACATGTTCATCTAAAAGATTATATAACTTAAAATATTAAAATATGTAAGAATAAATTAAATACTAAAACACGAAAAATTAAATTAAATACTAAAACGCGAAAAAAAATAAATTGGAAAACGCAAAATAAAAATAAAAACGCTAAAAATATCATATAAAAAATAAAAACGCTAAAAATATTATCTAACAATCTTGTCGATTTATCATCCTTTATTATTATAACATCCAAATTTGATCAATTCTCTAATTATTCATATATTCCGAAATCCTATTTAATAATGATAATTTTACAACTGGTGATAATAATAATTTTGTAAAATTGACAATGATAACGACGGAGATTGACGACAAGCCTACGTATTCGGAACGATATTATCAAGCCAACGATTACAACGACTATGAATGATTTGAACAATCAAAATGAACAACCATTTGAACGACAAATTTTCTATGACAGCTCAAATGGATTATGGGAAGGCTTTTCAGAAGAAGGGGAATGTTAATCGAGATTGACCTTTTAAATTTGTTTAACTTAAATTTCTATTATTTTAAACATGTTAACCTTTAACCATGTATTTCATTTAAATTGTTTTTTTTTATAATACATATATATATACCTTATTTTATATTTATTTTTAGTATCATTTTTAGTTTTAGATATATTTATAATAAATAAAACATTTTTTCTTGTCCATACAACACCACCGTTATTGATATATAAAAGAAACCTATATTTTTTTAAATTTTTTTTAGGTTTTTCACATGTATTTACACCCAAATATAAAAAAGCGCTATCCAATAATGTTTTTGGTTTCTTAAGAATATATTTTGATATTTATTCTTTTAACGCCCTCTTATGGATATATATTTGTTAAATTTTTCAATTGAAAAATAAAGTTTAAGTTGTAATAAGCTAGTAAATATATTTTTTTTCCAAAAATATTAAGTAATAGAATTTTTAATTATTTGATATTTTATTTCAATTTTTTACTTAATAAAAAATTGATTTATGTATATTAAAAAAAATGTTTTTGAAAATTAATTTAAAAAAAATATTATATAATATTTTTTGATTGATTATGATTATTTGCTTTTTAGCAATTCATTTTAACAATGCTGTATTTAATCATACCCCCATTGGTCCTGGTTAATTCAGGCGTTAGAAACTGGACCTAGAATTAAACCAGTTTTGTAACGTTTTAGATGAACTCCCGATTTAAATAGATTCTAATTTAGTGATATTGGCATTTATGACTGACATGTTAAGATTTAACCTTATTTATTTTAGTGATATTGACATATTTGATTGAAGTGGGAGTACGTATAAATCAGATTTATGAAGAATCTATCAAGATCAATTGTAAATATTTCTGTCTTAC